CTCAAACATTCCGAATCACATGAAAGGATTATTATACAGAAATATGTAACTCGTTATTTGAGTTTTTCTATTTTTGTTGGAATGTCCTATATTCTAGCAGCAATCGCTTTTTCCTGTGGTCCTTTATTTTTATCAATAACTCTTCCAATGGAAGCATGGTATCCATTTTCTATTGAGACTACTTACGCTAAAGGTATTCTTTACATATTGCAAGTATTTGCCATCTTGCAAACAGGACTTTGTATTACGGTAGACTTCATGATTGCTATGTTCTTTTGGTATCCCGCTGCGAGGCTTGAAATGCTAAGACAAGAAATGCAACAGATAACACACGAAAATCAAATAAGAACATATATTCAGAAACATCAAGAAATAATAAGGTACGTAATACTTAAGGTTTTTAACAATTAATTAATTATATCATACAGTTAAACATATCAGTTAAACATATCAGTTGCACAAAAATATGCTGTATACTTTTGAATTAATTAATATTTAAGATTTAATATTTACGCATTTCAACATTTTTATGTAATATAAATTATACTAATATATCAATTCTATAAATATGCCAAAAAGTATTGTCACGTCCGCGGCGGTCACTCGCACAACACTTACTCACGCGACATGCGTAAATAAATAGAGGCCATATATTAAAAATGAATTTTAATAAGCTCAACAATTTGCACAACTCGTTATATAATTCCAAACCTTTCAAAACCATTTTTCACGAATCTCTCTGTCGAATCTTTTCAATGAATAAATCAATCAAATCAGTCCATAAACGGCACGTTGACAAGAAATGATCTTTTCAACATTACTCGGAGGCCAAAAGCGAGCGGACCATCGCTCGGCCACAACAGTAGTGTATATATACATATATACAGAGTGTCCCAAAACTCCTGCATTTGGAGCACACTACATGATTCTTTATGCTAAAGGAAACAACTTTTTTCTTTAGCAAAATTGCGTACGACGAGTTAATTTTTACAGTGGATCAAATTAAAAATGGCGAATGTATGTAGCGATCAGGACCGGCGCGCGTTTCTCAGGTCGACGCAACCTGATACTTAATCTTTGACTTCGCGTACTATATTATTTAAAATATGATAAAAGTTAACAAAATGAATATTGTTTTCATTCCTTACATCAGGGGTCGGCAAGTAAGCACTGCTCGCGGCCGTCCAATCAGGGATGCCATTTCATGTACGCTGCAACACGTAGAGGGGATAGACTGACACACCACTAGCGCGAGCGCTCGTCCGTGTACGCTCCGCGCTTCGGCCAAGTTCGAGCGGTAGAGAAGGAGTACCGACAACTGCTGTCTTCTTCTTTCTCGAGAAACGCTGTATCGCTGATTTGAAGCTGGCGTCTCATGACATGACACGAATTAATCATGCGATGTCATTGTCGATTATTTTTACATATACTTTTATACATATATTTTATTAAGTTAATAACATTATATTATTACAATATATTTTTTTCATACATAAATAAAAATCAAAATTTGTAAATACAAAAAATCCACTCTTTGCCAATATATACGCTTTTTATTTGCAAAAAGTAATTATTATATTAAAAAAATTTATTAGTGGTCTTATAAGATATTTATATATAATTATTAAAAACTTAGACGTTTGTATATTG